AGTATAGATGATTGTGATATAATTTGAGTTCGTATTTAGTATGGTTGGGAAAAGTTATTTCTTAAAGTTATTTTGAAAAAGTTAAGTTTATCGGTTTATTTAGAAAGATTGTTTCAATAGAGATAATAGATATGTAGTTCAACGTGTTTCCAATGGGATCACTGCAGCTGATCTTCTCAAGTACGAATATGCAAATCTAGAACTCAAGGTATGATTTGCACATTGGAGTGATGTAATATAATTATTTCTTTGTTACTAATGCCATAATTTGAGTAAAGTTAATTAAATGGGTTGTCAATGACATTAATCAACGTATATGAGAAATTGTTAAATTGTACAGTTAATGTGCAGATAATAAAATGCAATTATGCGTGTCAGTTTCATGAGACTGCGTTGTTTTAATGGATATTGTTGGGAAAAAATGATGGATTAGGTCAAAGCCCAAAAAGATTTGGGGTCCAATTGTAATTCACCAAAAGATTGTGGTAGATATTAGTAAAATACCCAATCTTGAATTTGGATTTTGGTGACGGTTATTTGTGAGTGGGATTACAGTTATTTCAACAGATATGCATGATCAGGCTTTTTGGCAAAAAAACTACTCCCTAGACTCTTAGAGAAACTTCTTTGCAAAACTCTTCCTCTCTGTGCATTTGCTATAAAACCAAAAGTCTATATCCATGCCAATAAACAGATTTCGTATAAGCAAAAAGCATATCAAAAATATCTCTAGGTACGTTTAAAATCCCAATAGATATGATTACGTGAGTAATTTAACTTATTACTCGTTGGTGAATTTAGTCTCTTTCCATGGATATTGGTGGAGGAAATATGAGATGGATGTGATTGAATTGGTGAAGACAAGAAACATATTGTCGGCAATTCCTAAAAGGTTATTTTAAAAGGGATTATCATTATTAAATTCTGTTAATTTTCATAACCCCATTCTTAAAATATTACTAATGTTGGAAGTTTAATTGGTTTATGATGATCTGTTGGTGGCTCCTTTCAACTGGTTAATAAAATGATTATTATTGTTGTTGTTGTTGTGTTTCTGTTATGTTTGTTATCAATGTTATATATAAAGTCAATTGAAATATTGGATGGGCAACTAGCTTTCCTCAATTTGGCGGTTCATATCATATAGTCCGTGTGTGGTGTATAGTAATAGTTACAGGATGTGAAAATAAATGGTGAAGTTATTTTCAAAAAATATTGTATATAATGTGTGGAGGCAAAATACCTATGGTGATGCGGAACAATAATATTTTAATGTCACAATTATGGTTGGCCAAAAAAAGTCACAATTGTTTAGTGGAAGTCGAAGTTTCCCAAATTTGGCGCATGGTGAGTTGGCATATTTTATGATACTGTTATGTAAACTCTGGAAAATTCTAATTTAGTTAGAGTGGGGGGAGATAGTGGTGTGAGATGCTGATTTAATTAGAATTATTATTGATGAGGTATGAAAGAAATTTTCCTATAAAAGTGTGGAGCACCTAAAATGTGGGGTACTTTACAGAAATAATATTAATGGAGAAAAAATGTGTTTTAATTGTGTTAACCTCATTTTACAAATCTTTATGGCGATTTAAAAAAGAAAAATCAATTAAGTGGAGGCTTTGTTAGCTTTTGAGAGCAAATTTTGTAAATTATCAAATTTTTCTGTGGATATGAAAATTTAATCATTTGTCCAAGTGTAGAGATAAATGTTCTTTAATTTGTCTTGGTACAAATATGCATGAGCATGCACAACTATTATGAATATTGAATTTTTAAAGTGGACATGAAATATTATGTTATGTTTTGTAGCTTCAAAATTTAAATGGAACCATGGGTGAAACAAATGTGGCTTTAAGTAAATTGTAAAGGACCAATAATATGATGTTTTCAGAGAATATTTCTTATCATGCTAATTTGTTTGAGGTATTTGTGTAGCTGCTGTGTATGCACAACTTTGAGAATTTATTCCATTAAATACCCTTGATGTAACTTTTATTATAAGGCTGAGCATATCTAAATATTGATATCATGTAAAGTAGATTCCCGTGGTATAGAGATAATTCACCAATAATTATTCATCTTTTGGGGGGATTGGAGGTTAAGTTGTTGAAAACTTATTGGCAAATATTTTGGTGTAAAAACCGACACTCAATGTCAATAGACTGTGATTGGCAAAAAGAGAACAATAGTTCAAGTACACATCGTTTGATACATGTGAATGTCTTAAAAATTGTGGTGTTATCTCAATCAATTTTGTGAGGTCAAAAGTTAACAAAACCCTGAAAGAAACAAATCAGTTGAGAAAAATGGGACTCCAACTTGAAATTGACAATGATAGTAACCCAACCTTGTGAGTGGTGATCCCATGGAGAAGGTTTAATGGGTAAGAAGAACAAGTCGTTTGTTAATTCTGCTAGTATTAAAATAAATTATTGGTCCCCTCGTATGGCATGAGAAAGTGCTATAGAATGTATTTTGGTGAGGTTGAGCGCAAGCTCTCAATGATTTCATAATCTCACTGGCCGACCTTGACCCCTATTATTTGAGGTCATATCTACCATTTAGAGTTTGCCACAATTTGGTACCACTCTCGTGGCCCACACCGAAACAATGCTTTAGATGTCCAGTCAGTCAACTACTGCACCTCAACACATTTCGAGGAGAACCAGCTAGCTCTGGCTTCGAGTGGCATTTCACCCGTAGCCATAACTCATTCGTTGATTCTTCAACATCAGTTGGTTCGGACCTCTACTTAGTTTCACCCAAGCTTCGCCTTGGTCATGGATAGATCACCCAGGTTCAGGTCTATAAGTAGTGACAATTGTCCTATGAAGACTCGATTTTGCTACTACTCCAATGGGTTCCCTTAACCAAGCCATTGTTGGTGGGCTCATTCTTTCAACAAGCATGTTGGTTAGAGCCCCGAGCTCCTCCCTGGAAACTTATGGTTTCATGTTCCATTTCACTCCTTGATAGGGGTGGTCCTTGTTGATTCACATGAGAGATTCCACATGCCCCATACTACTCAGGTTAGAGTGTAAGCTAGTGATGCTTTTGGCTACTAGACTCTAGCCATCTACGGTCGCTTTTGCTTTCTTTTCCTTTGGTTACTAGGATGTTTCAGCTTGCCTACCCATGGATTCAGTTCCTTTCGAGAATCTCCAAATTTACACTTATTTTCAACTCCCCAAAGCATTTCGCCACTTGCCCTTCCTCGTCTTTGGGTACAGGTATCTACCATAGCCTTTCCTCGTTTGAACCTCTAACTTGGGAAAGGCTATGCCTAAAGCATCATGGCATAAATCGAACTACTGAATGGGAAAAATTGGAGGCCCTCCTATGAAATCGTGCCGAAATCTCTAAAGCATTATGCATCAAGCATGCACATGGCCATCTTAACATGCAAAAATGTTGTTAATAGCGAAAATGTGGGGGAAGGGGTATAATCTAACTAATAATGCCCCTAGCATATGCCAAGATGTGTGAGTTCACAATAGGGTCAAGAAGAGAGAGTCTATGTGTGTAACTAATAATGGGTATTGTTGTAAATTGTGTAGATGTGTTGAAGAAAGAGTCCCAGGATTGTGGGTGTCCAAATAAAAATGTCTTGGGCAAATGGGTCAAGAAGAGAAGTGAGGGTTGCATGCACAACTGGCCACCGGAGACAAATCCTGCAATTTTCCCTCACCCCCAGTGCACGAGTCAAATACGATACGGGACACTTTATTGAAAATATCTGTCTAATTAACATTCAATGTTCGTAATCGAAGATTTTATAAGACAAGTTAATTAATTGCCATGTGCTATTATGATCCATAGCCTAAAAGGACAAATGAGAGTGAAGTTTAGGGAAAAAACACCGAAAGGAAGTGCCACTTTTTTACCTTTAGCTGTTCTGCTCACTCTACTCTTGCAGGAACAATCTGTTTAATCTATAAGACACGATAGTTGCGAAATAGCTCTTAAGGATAGTTTTTCTATAAGACACAACTCGGATTTATCTTTTTTTTTTTTTACAAGTGCGGCATCAACAAGATTTAAAGAGTTGAAAGATCTATTAGATTTTTGGAGAATCTAGGTGCTGTTGCCAACATGAACTTCCCGCAAAAATGGATTTCTACAAGCCCTTTCGATGGTGTGAAATCGAAAATAAATGGCGTGAAACGGGCCAAAATTCATAAAACGTTTGTTTTATTAGTCACATTGAGAAAACTTCTAGGCAAAATAAAATGTGAAGGTTTTCGATGGTCTGTTTCAAACATGGTTGTTGAAATGATATTCGACCATCGTTGGGCAGAGATGTAAATGCTAATAAAGATGTTAAATTAGTATGCTAACAAGTTTTAGGTGAACGGGGTGTTATAAAAAAGAAAGCTTATAAGCTGCAAGAAGTGACTCTGATGCTAAATTAGTATGCTCAGAACGGGTGCGTCTAAAATTATAATAAATCGAATCGAAATTCAAATTGAGATCCTAATCAATTTCAACCTTAATCCTAATTTAAAAGATAAAGAATCTTAATTGAAATACAAGTTAATGCCTTGCTTATGCCTAGCTTGTGGGAGAACTCTCGAGTCAATACCTTGTCTAATTTAAAGTTATGTATAATTCAAATGTGGCTGAAATCCATAATCCTAAGGAAATTCAAACAATCAGGCTTACAGTTCATGAGGACTTCCAACTTTCAAATACGACTTGAGCAAGCAAATATAGGACTAAGTAATTTTGGTCTCAAGCAAGAAGCATTCATATTTCTTAGAATCTCGACATAATCCCACAACTTTCTTACTATACTTCCGACATAATCATGATATAATCATGATAAAAGGAACAAAAACATAGGGCCTGTTTGGGTATCCCAAAATCATGGTTTCAGAAGCATTTTTCCGCAAAACGAGATAATCTCTTCCACATATTTACTTCGTAATCCGTAAAAGCACTTCTGAAACCATGGTTTGGTTTCTATCCAAACACCCCCATAGAGTCCATAAAGAACCATGTTATGGTTATAAAAGATTTTACTTACCTTGACCATAATGCGAAACCAAGCCTGAAAACCTATCTTTTATTCAAAAACCAACTGCTGACACTCCTAAAAGGCACCATGTGAGAATAACAGGTAAAAAATTCATCACTCAGAATAACCTTATAGAATGAAAGCATATAACAATATTCAAAGTTTACAAGTCAGAATAACCTTATCACTCAGAATAACAAGTCATAACCATCAACATTACTTCTTAGTTTAATTCTTGCTTTATATTCTCTTTTACTTATACTTGCAAAATTGAACCCATAGGCTACCCCTAAGTGAGTAGCTAAAAGAGCATACACACAGGCATGATGCGAACTGACCATGTGACTGATAACTCCTATGAGTTTTCCTCACGCATGATGCGAACTGACTAAAGTCGACAGAGCATACACACAGGCATGGGCTCTTCCAGGGAAGGGATAGCTATACCCCAATAGATAAATTGCCCAGTATGCTACCCCACTGTAAATTGTTCAGATTCTTAATTCTTATCAGGTATTTACCCCATATCAGGGTTCAGTTCATGTCAAAATCATAATAGCAACATATCAACCTATAGAAGTACAACATAACACATTTCATTTTAGTTTACAAATTTGTACAAATATCACACAGCACAACTTTTCACCACGACGAGTGCTATGCCTCGACTGCTTTTTCACTATAGAAAATTCATAGATATGTCCTTAGTATACACTCCTAGAGTGTCGTAGATGAAGGTGTATTGCCCTTAGGGTACCATCAACATTACTTGTTAGTTTAATTCTTGCTTTATATTCTCTTCTTATACTTGCAAAATTGAACCCATAGGCTAAGGCTTACCATGTGACTGATAACTCCTACAAGTTTTCCTCACGCATGTGACAGAGCATACACACGGGCATGGGCTCTTCCAGGGAAGGGATAGCTATAATAAATTGCCCAGTATGCTACCCCACTGTAAATTGTTCAGATTCTTAATTCTTATCAGGTATTTACCCCATATCAGGGTTCAGTTCATGTCAAAATCATAATAGCAACATATCAACCTGTAGAAGTACAACATACCACATTTCATTTTAGTTTACAAATTTGTACAAATATCACACAGCACAAATCTGGGCTTTTCACCACGACAAGTGCTATGCCTCGGCTGCTTTTTCACTATAGAAAATTCATAGATATGTCCTGGTATACACTCTCCATTCTTATAAGTGTCGTAGATGAAGGTGTATTGCCCTTAGGGTATATAACAAAATTTACAATTATAATTGCCAACATCTCTCCATTCTTGCAGTTTATAAGAAAACACACAATCATAATATTTCGTAATTAGGGTTCAATTCTTATCAATTATTTAATTAGGGTTCAATTCATGTCATAGTCACAGTAGCATGCAAAAGTATAACATACCACAATGCATTTCAGTTTACAAATTCGTATCACAACAAAAATATGGGCTCTTCATATGAATCACCTAGCACTTGTCGGGGCGACATTAATGCATGTTTCACCGCAACGACATAGTTTTTCCCTATGGCGAAATTCATAGATCACATCAATAAACATAAGGAAAAAACTAAGAACATGACTTTAAGGCTTTTGTCCAGTCTTAAGTTGTTGTCATAATAATTAGTCGTATCAAATTTTGTCCAGTCCTTGAAGAATTTACATTAAAAGCCCTTAGAAACCAGGAAGAGTCTGGTAAAAATTTACGTTACCTATAATAATAGAACACTTGGGGTGTTTGGCAACCTTCATAAGTATTTTTGACACACATTGAGATAATTCCTATCACATATTTATTTCTGTCCAGCCGTAAAATCATGGTTTGGGTTTTACCAAAACCCAAACACATCCTCACACACGTCTACTCTCTAAGAAAAATATCATCTAGCTAGAGATCCGCAAAAGGTTTATCTCAGAGATAACAAAATCCTAGCCTTAGAGGAGAACCAGAAGAAAAGGGAGAGAAAACACAGAGGGGGTGTTTGGCAACCCCTATAAGCATTTTTGACACACAAATCGAGATAATTTCTATCACATATTTATTTCGTATACAGTAAAATCATTTTTAAAATCATGATTTGGATTTTACCCAAACCGAAAGACATCCTCACAAACGTCTACTACAACTCTAAGAAAAATATCATCTAGCTAGAGATCCGCAAAAGGTTTATCTCAGAGATAACAAAATCCTAGCCTTCAAGGAGAACCAGAAGAAAAGGGAGAGAAAACACAGAGGGGGTGTTTGGTAGCCCCCATAAGCATTTTCGACACACAAATCGAGATAATTCCTATCACATATTTACTTCATATATAGTAAAATCATTTTTAAAATCATGGTTTGGATTTTACCCAAACCGAAAGACATCCTCACAAACGTCTACTACAACTCTAAGAAAAATATCATCTAGCTAGAAATCCGCAAAAGATTTATCTCAGAGATAACAAAATCCTAGCCTTAGAGGAGAACCAAAAGAAAAGGGTGAGGAGAAAACACAATTTGGTGATCACTTGCTGACTTCCGGAGTTCACTAACTTCTTAGAAAATTGCCTCAAGAAAACCTTAACAAAGCTAAAACTATTCCTCGTGTAAAAACTCAAAGTGACGACGCAACCCTAACCATATTTACCTTTTTTTTTTTTTTTTTTACCTTTTCCGCGGCAATAATACTTAAAATCAAACACTGTGTTTTTGGCATTTTGCCACAGCAAAAGGTCTCCTTCGCCGTGACGACCTTTGCAAAAAAGCAGGTGCTACATGACACCTTTGAGAGTACAAAAGTAAAAGTCAAGACATTCAAGCACCTTTGAAGACATGCAACAGTATAGGTGCCATTCACATCCAACAGGAGGAAGCTCTAAAAATCAAGCCCTTTTAGAGCATCCAACTTTCAAACAGAACTTAACCAAGCAAGCAGAAGAACAGTCACAACTAAGAAAAGAGGACACAACCATAAACACCTCTAAATACAATTTTTTTTTTCTGGTACATGAAAGTTTAGGTAAATTTTTCTTGAGGGCCCTTCATGCTCAAAAGGGTGCTTACAGAGAGGGAGTTACATAGCCTAACAAGAAAATTCTAAACTCGACAATGAGATTTGAACTTACAACCTTGTTCTTCCTAATATAACTTGATAACAAACACAAGTAATCAAAATTAACAACTATAAATTGCTCTATCTATAACTTTTTTCTGAGGACTCCTAAATCTCCTCCAAACTCAAAGGGCGCGCACAGAGAGGTAATTACATAAACCCTTGTTCCTAAACTTGATAGCAAACAAGTAATCAAAATTAACAATCACAAAAATCTAGCCAGAATCAAGGCTTTTAAACCATCTAAACTTCAAACTTTAGCAAGCATATATAACAATCAAAACAATCACAATAACAACCACAAAATCTAGCAACAATCACCATCCAAAAATAACATGACTTTGTACAACTTAAAAAATGCAACTTTCACGCGAGAGGTAGTATGTTCAATCATTTTAGGAAAATGACTTAGGATAAGACAATAATCACGACAAACAGACACAACAAATCTAGCAACAATTATAGTTCAGACATTGAATGACAAATACAAAATGAATACAACCTAGAAAAAAAGAGGCCAATACAAACAATCTAGTAATAATCACAATAAACAGTCACATTAACAATCATAACAAGAGGAGGCAATTACAAACTAAACTAATCACAATAAACAACCACAAAAAGAGAACAATCACAACCAAATCTAGCAGGAATTATATGAACACGACTTATTATAAAAGAGGAGAGGCAACTACAAACTCCTTCCCCTTGATAGAACTTTGATAGCAAACAAAATTAATCACAATAAACAGCCACAAAAATTTGGAAATGATGACAGAAGGACGCCCCAAAATCAAGCCCAATGAGGAAAGTTTCAAATGGAACTCAAGCAAGCAAAAGAAGAATCACACCAAACACAGCCTCACCATCAATTCAATTCACACAACATTAAAGTGGAAGACAATAACAAAATTCCTCCCCTTGAAGGGGTCCAAACTTCTCAAGCTTACATCCTATTCCAAATTTCATAAATTACTATCAATGAGGAATAAAAAAATGGAACATCACAAGAATAATTGAGATAAAAGGAAAAATGCAAAAACCGAGAAAAATAGGGATAGTGAATGGAAAAAACTAATAGGACTTCATAATTCCAAACTAGTGAAAGGAACCCCTTCCAAAATACTACGTTAGGATCTAGTGATTAAAAAATTGGCATACGAGGAATTGATGCCAATAACAAAAAACACTTATTCGAACATATAAACGAATGAGCAAACTACTCATAGTGCAAGCTATCACAAAGGGGGGGAAAAAAGGAGACGAAGAACGAATTGGAAAGCAAGTAGTAGTAAGAATTTTACAAAAACAAGCTAATGATGAAGAGAAGGAAACATTTTATCTATCGAATCAAAGAGCAAGTAGGAGGAAACATTTTACAAAAACAAACTAAATATTGAATTGCTAGTCAAAGGAGAGATCTTATAGGGAGAAAAATGAAGAGAGAAAGAAGCTTACTTATTTTGTTGATTTTCAGTCACCACAAGATGGAGAGAAGTTCTTCCCTTCCTCCCCCTTTCTTGTTGGACACCTTTTATGTTTTTGCTCCATATCTGAATTCACTAAGCAACTATACAAATATGTTTTGCCTCACATTAAAGGAATACTTTGTTACAAGTCCATCAATATTCACATAAGCTACTGCATACAAGATAACAAGATAAAAACATAAGACGTGATTTTTTAAAAAAATAAGAAGGGTAGAGAAAATGACTAAAGGCTAACCTTTCAACTTCTTTAGATAAAATCCATCAAGCTCCCAGCGCATGGTAGAATGTCTGTTGAATTGGAGAGCAAGTAGGACTAACCATTTAAAAAGAAACTAAAGATGGAGAGAACCTTACCTTTTTTGTTGAATTTGAATCACTACAAGAATACGAGCCATTTGAATTGGACAACTAGTCGGAGGACAAATCTTACAGGGAAGATCCTTTCTCTGTTACCAAACTAGTCGGAGGAGATATTCTTCGCTCCGCATGAAAGAATACACTAAACAATTTAGAAATTATGCTTTCTCCTGGAGAGGACGTATGTCACCAAACTACAATAACCATAAATTTTGGCAATGAACTATGCTTGTGAAATCCTATAAATTTTGGCAACGAACTGTGCTTGTGAAATCCTATAAATGGGCTATGCCCCTACTAACTGGCTTGAATTTCTAAGGCCAAAAGTTTCACCAATAAACCACATTGTTATGATTACTCTTATATGAGTAATCTCATATGATCCAGAACTATCTGAGAGAATTTTATTTTCTCCTCCAATATGGAAATTTAAGAGAACTATATGAGTAATCTCATAAGGCCCAACAAGGGGACCCATGTTGGGCCTACTCTAGGACTATCTATTTTGATAGTTCATAGCTATTTTGCTAGTTCAATCATCTTATAAAGAGGAGAATTCATTGCTAAAGACTATAACAAATTCTGGCAGCCGACTATGCCTGTGCAATCATAGAAATGCCACCAAACTACAATGATCATGAGAGACATTCATGTAGCATCTATATGCTCATATAGCATCTGTTGTGAGAGACATTCATGTAATTCAATAAGGTTATTTTCATCCACAAAATGTGGGTGGCATAACCGTTATGCGCATACACATGCGCTTTCATCATGCCAAGACAATTATTTTGGACGGGAAATGAAGCACATAACCTACCATGATATATTCAAATATCCACCAAGAAGAGGAACACTAACAACTAATCCATTTCAAGAAGCTCAATTCTACTGAAAGAGTATGTTTACACTAACAACTAATCAATTCACACATCAATGAAAGGGGAACCACAGAATCCCTCCCCTTAAGAGCACCAAGACTTTAAGAAAAAGAATAATTACAATAAACAAGCACAGCAACAATCCATTGACAATCCAAAAACAGTCACTCTAACCGCAAGTTGAAGGCGACCCTGGTAACTAATCCATTTCAAGAAATTCACTCCCACAAAAAAATATATTCACCATTACAATCAATTCATTCATCAATAAAAGGGAACCACAACAACCCTCCCCTTTGAGGGCACCAAGACTTTCAATCAAACCGCAAGTGAAAAAAAAAAATTACTATAAAAAACACAGCAATAGTAACAAACACAGTCTAACGAATAGTAAGCCCAACATGAAAAATTATGTTATTCCGCAAACAACTAAAAACAACAATTACAGAATCAATCCACATATTAACCAAGAGGCAACCACAAAACATTCCCACAAGGGCACACCACACTTTCAGGATGAATGCAAACAAAAGGGATTATATTATAATAAACACACACAACAATCTGGTGACGATCACAATCTATCAACAAACACAACAATAAAAACATAATGTTAACAAACAAGTGAAAACAAATAACATAGCCTTCATGGGAAAGGCAGCCACAAAATCCCTCCCCCTTGAAGGCATTCAAGCTTTTCACCTAAAAATTGATCACAAACAAAAGATTAATCACAGTAAACAACCACAGCGATCTAATAACAATCATAAGAAATAGCAGTCATAACAAGGAAACTTGATAACTAATCCTTTCCAGAAAAATCACTCACCATATCTATAACACAAATCATTGATGGGGAATACAATCAAACAAGTAAAAACAAATAACACAGCCTTTGGGGGGGGGGGGGGGACAAAAGGCATCCGACATGATCAACCAAAACATGACAGGAACAATAATCCACTAACAATCACAATCCAAAAATATCAACCACAACGTGAAAATATGTACTACTAAAATTAAAAAAAAAAAAAAAATACAACCTTGAAGCGGGAAGCAACTTGGTAATAAAGCTAATGACATATGCAAAGAGAAACACAAAAACAAAGGAGAAGAGAGAATGGATAGCTAGCAGGAGGATAGATCTCATAAAACGTCATCCTACTTCAAAATTTCAAACATCAGTTATATAGTGTCTCAGTCACTCCAATGAATAAATTCTTTGAAATCAAACGCATCATGGTTACACCGAAAAGTGCAAGGGGAGAAGAAGTAGAACAAGTCACAACTACATTACCTAGTAAAAAGAACACAATTATTCAAATGCTAAGGATAAGAAACACATAGAGAAAATTACTTACACAATATGTAGGAGTAAAAATTTTATAGAAAGAAACTAGAAGACAGAGAGAAGCTTACCCGCTTTGTTGATTTTAAGCCTTCGCAATTTACATGATTGTTGCTATCAATTGCATGATTAAACCCCTGATTGCTTCTCCCCATCTCGTCCATCTTACCCATCAAATTCGCGGAGTATATTTGAAATACTACGCATAGGATTCAATTGTTGAGGTTTTGATTAGAATAAATCATTTTTTTAAAAGAAAAATAAAAGGTGGTTGACGTGCATAAAATAATTTAATGATGGTTAAAAAAATACAAATTTACTAAATGAATTAAATAGATAAACAATTTAAAATAATTTTAAAGATAGAACGTTAATAATTTTAAAAATAGAACGTTTCGTATATATTTAAAATTAAAATATTTTTAACTACTAATATTTATTTTCAAAACAAATTTAAAATAATAAGATAATGGATCTTAAGAGTGAATTTTTTCAATAAAAAAATCGCAAAATAACCACAAGAAGCAATTAGATCAGTAATATATTGAAAATAACAAATAAGAACAAAAAGAAGGAATTGTCGACTATTAAAGTTTGACCAGATAGGATCCTATTTTACGGATCGTATAAACACAGTACATGTAAGCACATTTAGAAGGTAGAGCGCACACAAAAAAAAAAAATCTGAAATATAAATAATACCCGCAACGTTCGAAGTTGTCTTGCTTCTTTATTTTGGGCATCATGATCAGCCAAGTGACGGATGATTTATCAATTTTTGTAGATGATCAATGCCTCCTATATAAATTATTAAAATACAAACCTAACAGCATACTCCCGGAATTTATATGATTTGGTCAGTCATGTTCCCTTGAGGCTGCGGTCTCCACATTAACAATGAATCAACAAAACAGGGAAAAGAAAATAATTTTGGGAAATGTTAATTCATGGCTTTTTTTACAAAGTTTTTCCTGCGCTCTGCCAAAAACAGAATCATCTGAAACAACCCTCAGGTATTAAAAGCGCCATGCACCTTCCATACATAAACGAACGCACAAGTAAATGAAATTTATCCATAGAACAAGGAGGCAAGAGTTACATCGCAATACACAAATGCAACTTAAATATGCATTTAAATTTCAATTTCGAGCTTCTTCTAGAGTTAGGGTTCAACGGTAGTGTTCTCCCGCTAGAATTATCACAAGCAAATAGTGTTGCGTTTCTCTTAAACGGACCATTGATTCATCAAACCAAAGATTGAAACCATATCAAAAGGATTACTTATCTCACGTACCCAATGAGAACAGAGCAGATCCCCAACAAACCAATGGAAGAGGATACACTTGCGTGAGGGAAGAAATGTGTTTGGAGGAAATTGAGCGATGAGATCGATAAATCAGGAGAGAATCGAGAAAGTCTACCAGTCTCGTGCCATAAATCAGGAAACTCTCACCAAAGATACGCCTGAATAGGATCGTATGATGACCGCCCGACTCAAACAAACCAATTTCCACTCTCAATAAAGCCACAGTACCGAACATTGGCCAAGTAGAATACTAATCTTTCCCAAGCTCACCCAAGTTTTTCTTCGACCAAATAAGGCTCCCCCAAGTAATTATACTGTTCAAATATATCCGTCGAATGATGTAGCCGTTGGAACTAATTCATCGGAATATTTGAATAATTAAACGTTGGAACTAATTCGTCGGAATATTTGAATAATTAGCCGTTGGAAGGAATTCTTGGAAAATTGGAATTACAGAGCCGTAACTGACTCCGTCGAATAAGAACTGCATTAATTGCTTCTCCGTTCTTCTGCTTCGCCAGACAACGGCTCGTATTATTTTCAATTGGACGGCTCAGATGAATTTGAGAATTGTGGACTTGGGGCCCAAGAAACCTAGCAGATGAAGAGATCTTTTCCTTGTTTTTTTTTTTTTTTAAACCACAAAACACAACTTCGGCCGGTGATAAATGTTGTTTTCAAAAATTTAAATAATTTGATATTTAACGTCACTTTAAGGGATTTATTTTTTAAAAAAAATTCTGAAAATATAAACAAAAATTGAAGAAAGAGAATTCCAATTTAAAATTTAAAATAAAAGATAAAAAATTCATAGGAAAGAAAATAAAAGAGAATATGGAATTTAAAACTTGATCTTCTCTTCATACTATATATAATTAAATAAATTCACACAAATAATGTATGAATAAAAAAATTATATATTTTTTAAAAAAAATTAAGCTTTCCAAAAGGATAGCGACATCTAAGATTTAGATTTTATATAATAAACATTAATGGAGTTATATTATATTTATTGACACTAATTATTAGATCATGCATGAGTCTTGCACCTTTATGAGGATTCTGTATGGAAAAAAATTTCTAAATTGATTAAGATAATTCCTTTGGCTCCTCAAACCATGGAGAGTGTGTATACATAGATGTGCGTGAGAGATATGATGAGAGGATATATAGGAAACTTAGCTAGTTTAGAGGTAATTTAGTATTTTTGCGAGGAAAAAAAATTCAATCACTTAGAATGGGTACCAGCATGAAAATATTTCATGGAAAAATGCTTAAAATTATTTTATTAAAAATAAAAGAATTGTTGAATTGATGTGTGTGGTATTAATGAGTAGCAAGCATTAGTTCATTATTCAATAAGCGCGTTATTAAATTATTATTGTATTTAACTATTTTTGAGGGAGATTAAATAGAGGTAATTTGGGAAAAATATATAAATATAAAAAGTATGTCTTACATTACTATATTTAGGACTAAAATAAACTCTTAAATGAGATCATACATTAAAGATAAGTGGAGTAATATGTGGATCAAACTCACAATCAACTTAAACAAACTTGTGAGAATGATTTAAACTTGGATAGTGATAGTTTATTAGTTCATCTTTATCAATATACATATAGTTTTTTTTTTGTTTGCCAACATTAGTATATAGTTATTAAAAATATATGATTATATAATTAAAATAGAAAAAATGACAATTTCAATAGGAGAGTTTCGCAGAGAGAATCTCTTAGAACTAAAGAAATATTATGAAAAGATATCAAATCATTAAACTTAAATCCACCAATATTTGTAATTTATCATTCTCAACATGGAAATTTATGTGAAGTTCAAAGATTGCATTAATATTAGTTTCAACCTTTTAGTTTTTACTTTGCTTTGAATCGGGTACTCCTACATATTTTGTAAATTAAGTTCTATTCATTAGATGTTTGAGTTGCTCAATTCAATAAAACGGTAATCTCAAAAGGTTAACTCTTAATTTCGACTGAGTTTTACATATAACTAATATGATCATTCTATTAAGTTACAAAATCTTCATTTGGTCATATTTGACTGAAATAAAATTTTTCTCTACAGATTTCTGATGATGAAAACTCCTACACTGACGAAGAGATTGGTAGTGTTTGAGATCATTTGGAAGGACAATTTCTTAAAAAGTTTTTTTTTCTCAAAATGATACATGAGGTTAAAAGACATATGTTAGGAAGATTTTATGTAATTAAAGTTACTTGATTAAGTTAGGGTGTTTAGGTTTTTTTTTTTTTTTAGCTTAACTAAGTTGATGAGAATTTTATTTTGATAAGTTAGTGTTTAAGGTGTATTTGTACTGAAATTATAATTTGCCGCTGCTAAATTACTGCTACTGTTGTGTAGTCCATTTGGTTTAATTTGAATTGTAGGGTTCAAATCAAACAGGTACATGCAAATTACCAACTTTTTTATTTAAAAAAATGACTATACTCGTCTGTTCTGGTGAACAGATGAATACAGTTTTATAATATTCGTCTGTTTCAAACAAACGAATATATAACTACTATTTACATCTTTTTTGTCTACGTTCTCATTTAAACAGACAAAAAGGTGTTCAGAACAAACAAAAATAGATGTTTTTGTAGTAGTGTGAAATAATTGCATTGGTAGTTAAACTTTTATACAAGATTAAAATACACAAAACCTCTATGATTTATTCTTGTGATCCATAATGATCAAATAGGATATTTGAAGCAAATAGGATATTTCAAGAAAACTAGCACAAATTTATTACAAATAATTAACTTAACTAATTTGCTTAATATCCATAAATAATTCATTTAGCTCCTATATTTAGAATAGGAATGAGTACATGTTAACGAACTCCATAGCAACAGTTGCTCTCTTATTACGGCCTAAACACTTTCAAGTTGTCCTACTGTTGTTTCCTTTGTTTTCAGAGAAGTTGAGGATTTAAATCGAATATATGACCACACCGGAAAATCATTATATGTAGGTGTAGGATAACTTGAAGAAAGACTAGGAAATGAAGCTTCAAAGTTAAGCACATGAATTACTTGCCTTGGGGGCCTATGATTATGATCAGGATGAGCATACCACAGGCTAACAATCATTAGGCATTTGATTTGATCATGGTCAAAATCTCCTTCTTGTCTTGAATCAACTGCTTTAAGAAGATTTCCACTTCCATAGAGTTTCCATATCCAATTAACTAAGCTTTTTTTCATTTTTTGCATCCTGAGTTGATGGATTTTCTTTCACAAGCCATCTCCAAAGCAATAATTCCAAACCTGTAAACATCAGATTCTTTACTAACCCTTCTGGTAGTGATGCATTTAGGAGCCATATAGCTCATAGTACTGGACAAAGCTGTAGTTTGTGCTCCCTTTGCATGGTCTACGAATCTTATTAATCCAAAATCTTCATGTTTTGCATTGAAGTTTGAGTCTAGCATGATATTGCTTTATTTTTGTCTCTATGAACCATACATTGTTGCCATTTTTCATGCAAGTAAAATAATGTAGAGGCCAAGTCATGAGCAATTTTAAATCTAATGGACCATCTCAGCAACTTCTGGCTCTTGAAGAGATAAGCATCTAAACTTTCATTTGGCATGTACTCATAAACCAGCAATAGTTCTTTGCTTTCATGACACCAACCGATTAATTGTACCAAGTTTTGGTGTTTTAGTTGACTGATTATTCTTGCTTCCTAAACAAACTCCTTTCGTTGTTTCGAACTCATTGATATTCTCTTTATGACAACATAGGAATTTGAATGTTTAAGAAAACCTCTGCAGACACCTCCAAATCCTCCCTGAACAAGCTTTCACTCATACTTGAAATAATTTGCAGCACTTTGTACTCTTCTGGACCTATTCCTCTTTCAAAATCATCACTCATATCCTCCTCACACTTAATCATCTTTCATTTTCTTTCTGTTCTTTCATATGACGAACAACACTATCTCGCAAACTAGTGCAAACCCTCCTCCAACCCCTGATATAGTTGCAAGTACTGTGGCATTTCTACTTGTATGGCTAATGCTAGGCTTGCTCAGTTTTTGACTTGGGAGTGTTTGGGTGGAAATCAAACTATAGTTTTAAAAGTAATTTGATGATATACGAAATAATTATATAAGAAGAGTTTTGTCCCGACTTGTATGAAAGTACCTTTTAAAAGTGCTTTTTGTTTATATCAAACACCGCTTTGGTCTTGGGCTTTCACGGAGAGTAGCAACATTTGGGCTTCTCCGAGTAGAAGCTCCATGTTGACCTTGGGTATTGCAACTGATAATCTTGCGGTTGCTAAGAAAACCAAAAATAATCCGTTTTGGCTGGTACTTTCTTAGGTTCACTACTTGATCAAGATGTACTGTGCTGGCACCAAAAACCAAATTAGTAAGGGTTTGTTTTGGATTGACTTATAAGTAGCTTTTCAAATATGAGTTACGGAATACGAAATAAGTATGTAAGGAGAGTTTTGTCTCAATTTACGTGAACTTGCTTAAAAATCAGTTTTAAACGGAGCTCCAAACAAACCCCAAATGAGATACTTAAAATTATGCGCATTTGAATTGTAACTGATGATCGCCTTGTTAGTTTTCTCTCTCATAATTTAAATAACTTGACGTTTGGTACAAAATGTTGCCAACCTCAATTTTATAATTGCGCTTGTTTGAAGTTATGCAAGAATGTAACCACGTCAAGATTTCAATGGAGAGGGTCCACTCGACAGAGACTTTTTATCATCATGATTGTGACTATTTCGGCGTAGAAGAAAATTTCTGGAATGAAAAAGCCCAAGCCAAAACCCAATTTGTTTGAAGCAAGTTTTTTTGTCTATTGTTGATTAGACCCAACACTAGAAATTAATGTAAATAATATAAATCCAATCATCAATATAATAACACTGCAATATACAAAATAACACCTTATGACTTACAACCTACCGGGAAATACATTGAACATTTTGATCAAAACCTGTCAAGTTTTCTAAAAGGCGTTTCTAATTTTTGGTTCAAATTGTTTTTCTTATTTATTTATTTTTTAAAATAATCTTTATGTATAATTAATAAAAGTATTTTAAAAAATATTTATTTATTACAGATAACTAGTTTAACTAATTTTCTTAACATTGATAAATTAATTATCTAACTCTTATATTAAATATAGTATTATATCGGCCCTTAATGTAAAAGCTAATTGACTATTTGAGTAAATAAAAAAAAAATAGTTAAGTTAGTTATTTGAAATAAATGAGTTATCTTTTTTAAAATATCATTATTAATCAAGCATATTGATTATAACTACTATTATTACAAATACTACTTAAAAAAAACAGATAAATATGATAAATAAAATAAATTAAAATTTTATATTTAAAACTAAAAAAAAATCTTAAAATACGGAAGTAGTATTTTGTTGAGGAATGAGACCGTAAGTATTCCTAAATCTATTATGAGAGCGTCTTGAGACTCGAGGGCCTCTAAGAAACGCACACTTCACGACAAAGGCTCCTTGTCAAATAGAAGATACATTAAAATACATATAAAAAAATTATAGTAAATCCCACTAGTTTATAAATGCCTAGCTGCACTGTCTTCCTCTCACGCGTTCATGCATAATCATTGAAGACAGAAAGTGGGAGCTTGAAATTAGGATCAAATTAAAGTCTGAATATGATTAGTTTAATTATAACCCTACCCAATATAGTCAACACGAGATTTAACTAGGGTCCTTAATTTAATACCCACCCTACGTCTAGCTACCAGGACAAAAGAAAACATGAATATTCATAATCTCCTCCGTCATCTTCTGCATTCACATCATCATCAACTGCAATTTTCAACGCACAAGAACCAAAACATGGAACTGAAATGAGTTCATTCCCAAATCCCGATCAGTCCCGAATATCATGGTGGCAACATATTGTATTAATCAAGATTAATCAAAAGCTTCAGAAGATAAATTATACAACAATGGCTGATCCATATAGTTAAACTCTGAGAAGATAAATGCTGAGCTCAGGGCTTCCACCATTATTGTTGGCCTGATGATGATCAGGATTCATCATGTAGAAGGCTTCGGAGTCTTTGGACCCCACCACCCTCTCGAACTTGGCTCTCATATACATGAGCTCCCCTTCGGACCCACCTGCCTCATTCCCTTTCACACTCCCCGCCGCCGCCGGCAAAACTCCGGCGCCCATTGTCATGGGCTCAACCACCTTCAGGACCTTCCACTCCTCTTCCCCACATTCTCTCTTATTATTAGCGTTTCCGCATTTCCTGCCGTTGCAGTAAGCTCTCCAACGAGGCTCCTCCAGCAGTTCCACAGTCGCCGCCGCCTTCTTCTCGCATTCCAAGGCGATTCGGACCAACCCAGAAGCCATCTCCCGGATCAACACGCTGGTGGGTGTGGCTAACTCGATCAGGAAGCAGGGGCTTGACTTGGGGTTCCATTGGAATGCAAGATGCACATGACCACGACGGCGGCCGAAGAGGGTGCCGATGAGGGTCCGGGTGGTGCCGGGGCCCGGGTGGCATAGAGAGCGGGTCTTGGAGAAGAAAGTGAGAGGAAGAACCGACTTGAACTTGAAAATGGGACGGGATTTCTTTGGGATTTGATCGTGCTTCTCCGTGGAATGTGAGGAAGAAGAGGTGGTGGTGGTTGTGTTTAAGTTTTCGTCATCGTCGTCGTCTTCGCCGGCGTACTTTTTCCAGTGGAGGAATCTTCTGGAGAAGGAGAAGGAAGAGTCGTGGGAGGATTTGGCGGTAATTACACTCATGGGGGAAAGTGAGTATGAACGAGCATGAACATAAAGACAGGCGAATGTGCTGGTTCTGTGACAGGGTGTTATGTTGCTGGGAAGGATGGGTTATATATATATATAGAGATAGATATGTAGGAAGGTGGAAAAGAAAGGTGTCAGGAGATGAGAGGGTGAAGGACAGACAGGAGAGGGTGACAGGCGGGAGATGATCAGACTCAACTACTGCACTGTAGGGCGTACAAGGATTTGCAGATTTGGAGGCTCAAGGAACACAGCAGAAAACTGTCTCATCTAATATATATATAGTAAAAGTAATGTTTCCTCAGGATCATTTGCCATTGGGAAAAAAAAAAAACACTCAGATGAATTCTGGATTGATTGATGAAATTGAATTGAAATATGAAAAATCATTAATAAATGAATTTTTTTTATATTGGTTAAAATTAACTACTCCTCCGATTTTTAATATAAAATCCATTTAACTAATTTGATTAGATTAAAGAAGTTAGGTAAGTTAGTTAAATATAAGAAAAGTGACACATTTTTTCTAAAATACCATAATCATCTTTCTTAATACCTCCTCTTCCTCTTCTACTTATTATAGTTGAGGGAGTATTCATAAGGGTAATTTAGAGAAAATTGATAAATATGAGAAATGGGTCTTATATTTAGGATCAAAACCAACTCAAGAATTGGGTCCTATATTAAGAACCGAAAGAGTATTAGATAATAAACATGTAAAAATTTTAATTCTTTTTTCTTATAAACATTGAGTAAGGGAAAATAAATATTTTCGTTGTGTAAAGCAGAGGTAAGTCGCTGCACGATGGAAGACTAGAACTGAAAAGGGGACCTTCAAGGTCAAAAAAAAAGAAAATTAACAAGGGGGAGCGGATTGGCATTGGGAATAGCGAGTGAGGAGTCAAGGACACACCAAATCATATCCACCACGGACACTTGTGTTTTTCAGTTATTTTGTTATACTACCTCCCATCTTTTTAAATTCTAAATGAAGATAATTTATGTTTTGTTATTTATTATTTTCAATTTTAAATATAAAAACTAGTTAACAGTTCTAAATATAAAATATAAAATTATTTTGTTTTTTAAATTTATAATATATTTTTAAAAATATTTTTATTAATTGTAAAATATTTCTACTCGAATGTAATTATGATATATATGATTGAATAAGGATAATTTTAAAAAATTAACATATATTTTTATAAGTAACTATTTTTTAATTTTTTTAAATTAATTATCTAATTTTTATATTAAACACCGAAATAGTATTTAGCTAAGCATTGAACTTTTATTAGACTCTGTGAGTGGGAGTATTAAACTTTGAATTTCAGGTTTAAGGGGCTTAATCCCAAACAGACGGTACGAGTACAATAAATACATAGAAATACTTTTCTTATTTTCTTAATATTACTTCTAATCTTTAACTAAATAATTAATCTGTAAATATTAATAAAATCAATTAAATTAATTATTTGTAATTAATTATGTGCATTGACAATTTCTTAACATTTGCAATTATCATAAAGATTATTTTGGGGCAAAATAAACAAACATAGAAGATAAAGTAAATTGGAACCAATGTTAATGTAAATCACACTGATGAGTATCATGATACTTGTTGTTGCAATGAAATCTACATCATTCATATACAATTTTAATGGTGTGAATTTAAAATTTTTAACGAATAATTATTTTTAAAAAAATTTACAGTTAAAAGATTACATTTATTTTAGATTATCTACTTATTAAAAATATAAAAAATTAAATCCTAGCATTTCATATTAAATTCAAATAGTTGAGATTTAATGAACATCATAGTGCTTATCAGTGTGATGAGTACCGAAACTAGTTTTAAAGTGAATTAAGATGTTATATATATTTAAAATCAAATTAAGTTTTTAATTATATATTATATTATATTATATTATACTACCTCCGGTCCTTATTATAAGACCCTGTTTGATTTTTTGTTTGGTCCTAATTATAAGACCCCAATCCATTTTGTCTCTCATATTTATGTATTTTTTTCCAAGATAATCCTTCTAATAATGATAGTTCTAGCCAATATACTTAATTAGCAAGGATATTTTAGGAATGACAACACTTATTTATTACAAATAACTAACTTAACTTACTTTTTTAATCTTCTTAAATAAATTAATTGGGTCTTATAATTAAGACCGGAGGTAGTATTATATCAAGAATGGAAAGTAATGTTAGTTAGAAGATCCAGTACATGATCCATTACTGTTAGATAAAAAGCAAGCGGGGAGCAGTTGTAATATGACAGGAAGGTGGAAATGCCTGAAGGGACAGTGAACAAACAATGAAGTGTAGGAGGAGCGGGACGCAGCTAAGTTGTTAACATTGTTGAAGAAAACAATTTCATTTTAACAAACCTGCGAAGCTGCAAAACCAAACTCAAACCAACCTTTCTTTCTCTTTTCTCTGTCTTTGTTTGGCCCTTTTTTGTGGGGCTGTGGGGAACAGCTCAGTCAGAAGAAAAAGCAGGGCGTCCTCCAAAGTCCGTAGCTCTTTCACCGCATTGAGCCAATAAACTACGGCTCCTACCATCTCCCTCACTTCTAGGGTGGCTTGTCCTTTCCATTTCACTTTTTTTATTTTATTAAGATATTATCTGTATGATCCCTAGGCTCTTCGGGAAGATTCAAACCAGCTAATTACCTTCTGCTCACCCCTAATTAAAAATGGTACTTGAGGTGTCTCTGTCTGGCTCTTATGTCACCCAAATCCTAGATTAAAAAAATTTAATAATTATCAACAATCCCAATAACAAATAGATAATTATTATTTACTTTTTAGTAATTATATTTTTTATTTAAAACTCCATGACAATTCTCCGTTGTTTATAAGTTCTCATCAACCCTCTGTTTAATTAAGAAAAATTAATTATGTTTTAATATAAGTTTAAAATTATATTGCATAAAAATTATTAGTTAAATAAATTTAATTAATTAATTAAAAAACTTATATTCAATTGGGGATATTAAGGGAAAAAATTAATGTTCTATTATGAAATATAAATGACATCCTTATATAATAATGAGAGGAGGTAGTTAAATTTCTCACCTCTAATAAACAAACATTACATCCGGTTCTTAATATAAAAATTAGTTAATTGATTTGATTAAATTAAAAAAATTTACAAAGTTAGTTATTGCTTGAACTACCATTTGATAAAATTTTTAACATGTGTAATTATTATAAAGGCTATTTTTTTAAAAAAGATAAATATGATGGATAAAATAGATTGGGTCTTATATTTAAAATTAAATTAAAAATCAAATTAGTTCTTATATTAAGAACCGGAGATAGTAATATTTAGGGAGAATTATTATGGCATCCAAATAATGAACATAATTACTAGAAAGTCTTAATCACAATAGAGAAGTATGTAATAACAAGTTTTAAGGTTTGACCACTTACTATTAAGACTTACTTATAATTATTTTTTGGAACCTCATTATTGTTCTTTCTTAAATTTATCATCCACCAAAAAATAGCCGGTCCCCCTAAGCAATAACCTACATCATGAGAGAAACCAGCTATCCAGTGTCCCTGAGAATTTCTCAGCAAGTCCGAAAATACATCTAAAATTAAATAATGGGGGATTCAGACTATCCTTTTTTTTTTTTTTTGACCAAGGGATTCAGACTATCCTTATCTTCTTGTAGCCAACGCCCATAATATTTATATGGGTTTGGTTTGTTTAATTTCTTACTGCGCACCAGAGCGTTGGACTTCGAATGATGGGACTTAAAGCTGCCCTTTTACTGGAAAGAAAAAAATATGAAAAGCAAGAATATGGACAGAGTAAGCGTTGGGCTTCAAACAAGAATATATGGCTGATCAATTTTGAACGTTGGGCTTCACTTAATGTACATGTATATCTTTAATTTTATGCGGATAGAAATTATGTTTAACGAAGAGATCAATTCTTAACAACGTGATGAATCAGGTTATTTATATCTAACAAAAAAAAAGACTTTATTTTTGAGGTGATAAATATTCTTATTTTTCATTTCCAAGAGAAGTTGCAGCTCTTTGCCTTCTCTAGCTTTTCTAATTTGGGGAGAATCAAAAGCACTGGTACCATATATGAATAATTTCTGACTTGCAAGATACTTCACATATAAATGATTCAGTCAATTGTTCTACAAGCAAGCCCGCGTATGTTATTTTCCAGGAAAAAAAAATCATGTTTTTAATTACAATATCCTTTCTCTTAATTAATTCACATTTTTATTTAACTCATTTAATCATGTAACTATATACGGTACGCTCTCAATACAAAATGCCCAAATAGCATGAATATTAGTTCACCGTTTATCATGGAATGGGAATAGAAATGAGAATCTATGAAGAAGTTATGCATGTTTGGTTGACAATCTCATCCAAATTTATCCCAATATTCTATATAGTGATTAATTAATTATTTCATTTTCAGAGCAAATTTGATTCCTTCCCAAATTTTAATGGAATGAGAAAACTGATGGATGGAATGAGCCAGCAATATCACCATTGCATATTCAGCATCAAATATATCATATTTATTTAATTTATTTTAAAATTTTAAAAATTAAATTCATGTTTTAATAATAAAAAATATTTTAGTGTATTTGTATTTTTAAATATGACAGAAAAATAAATCAGTATTTAAATATATTTTTCTACTAAAATTATTGCAATAATTTCCTTATCTTCATTTTTTATTCTCGCATTATGTTCATCTAATCTACAAATATACGATGAACTATGTAACTTTTTAAATGTTTCAAGGAGCATAATTCTCTCAAATACAAACCTCATTCACGTTTTTATCTTGATTCTTGTTTTCATAAAACTTATTTCATAAACAAACTACCTTGTATTATTATATTCATTCAGCCAATCTCAAATTTAGAACCGAAATGTTCCTCCCTTTTTATGATATACCCAAGATAATTATTTATTTAATGAAAACTCATTTATATTCTCATCTCCATAAAAATAATTACACAAAGCAAATAATGGTATTGTTACATGCAAAATAAATCTAAAAAGAGAGTCGATTTCAAAAGATTGACATATTGGGTGAGATAGATATCTTTAAACTTATAAGCCTCACTTCATTTGAAAGGTTCCTAACGGCTCAGTTATACGAAACTTCACTCTGCTCAACCTTTTGCAAGTCAAAATCCTTCATAGGTAATTAACCTCTCCATGACATTA